GTCCCCCTAACAATGAAATATAGTTGTTGATAAAGTATCAACCGGCGACAGCGAGGTGAGCAAAGGTGATGAGATCTCCGAGTCTTTAGAGAGGATGTGTGGAGGTGGGCAAAAAGCATAACTATTAGACAAGGCTTCTGGGGCCTAAGGGATTGTATTCATGAGAATCATCGTTTCGAGTTCTGTCCTCTCTAAATATTTCGGTTATGTCCTATCAAATGATCAACGCCATTCATGTGAGCAAATACTCGAATATGACGTAATCGGAGCAACAAATCATGAGTTTATAGACCGCCAGTATGACAGATGTGCATCTGGAACTGAAGCTATAGTTGATTAAGCTTCCGTAAATCCGGTTACGTGACACAATCTTAGGTGAGATGGGGAAAATGAGAACAACAAAGAGTGAAATGAGGGGATATATCGCAATTATCGAACTAAAAGTCGTCAAGAGGAGTGCCTTCACTTACCACTTCGACGACTATAGCCATGATGCTAGCGAAGTCGCCTCTCACGGATTTTATCGTCTTAATGTCGATCGCCCGATAATGGAAATTATGCATACTCTGACAGAAGTCTCAATTCTTGATATATTGGACAAATCATCCTGAAAGCTCGACTAAATTGTGAAATTGGGGGCAAAATTGTACTATATACTACCTTTCAGTTCTTACTTAAATAATTTACGGTTCCAAGTACTCTCAATTTGGGTCAGATTACTGTATTATTTTGTTGGCTCTATTCCTTTCTATCTCGAATAAAACTGGACACCCTCCACTCCTATAATCCCCTTTCGCGGGCAAGCCATCTGGCTTGTTCATATAAAGTTATGTCGATTGGAGCATGGAATAGAATACTCCTTTGTATGGCTAGATCGGTCTGAAGCCTCATTAGATCAATCCTCTGCATTTTATTTTCTCGATCAAGGCTTACCAACTTGCCTACCCTTCAACTGGTCTGTGGGCAGAGCTGATTGAATCTTTCTGCCCTTTCAATCGGCCCGCACTACTTTGCCTAATTGCACTTCGATTGCCCACACCCCAGCCTCACTAACCCAGATTTATTGATGCTGAATTTTTGTCCATCGCCGTTACCTTCATTCTTTGCGAGCTACTATAAGTTGATAACATTTCAGGATGGCTTGCAATCTGGATGTACATAGATTCAAGCAATCAAAATGTATACATTTATTGGTATATATTAGCATATACATGCCCGGGCTATACACCTGGACTAGATTTACAATTCATATGCCTCGCAATGTCCGCCAACAGCCCAACAAGTGGCGCCAGCCGCCTACAGTGCTACCTTCAGCAAAGAGACGCACTTCTTTCCCACTCGCCGGCTTAGCAATAGCTCATCTTCGCTCTTTCACGCTAATTAGCCCACAGATTCATGTGCAGCCCGAGCCAACAGCTGCCCGGCCCCGATCCTTGCCTATTCACTCATTCAACCTGCCGCCGGGTTACGACTGCTTGGCGTCAGAATTATGCTATGCGGATCGAGTCTTATGGCGATAGGATTTTATGATTTCTTTCGTTTGTGCGCCCGTATGTTGCTGTTTGTTGAGATTATCCTCACGAAAAAGCGAGAGGAAGTACATGTATACTTGTCATATTTTGCTGTCCCTAATCGGTGGTTGAATTTGTTCAGGGCTGCCTGTATATAAACGAAGAAGATTGGAACTAGATGACACCAGGATCTCTTATCATAAATGCACAGATTTTGCCTGTATCTTCACTGTGCACATGTGGGCGAAGTTGCTTTATCATATACATGAGTCTATTTGCATACATGATCATGCTTGTTTTAGCCTGTGCTAAGGCAGAGACAAAAAGAGGTTCCTTTATTGGCCCTCTCATAAGAGGTGTCAACTACTGAGCGCTGCAAGTTTAAAGGGATAGCTTACGATAAATTCGCACAATTTCGATATGATAAACATTCGATATTATCAATTTAATTAATATAATTTAAGTAATTAAACCATGAATAGTTTTTTCGAAAAGATAAATATTATCAATGAATAGAGGAGCCTAACCACAGCATTATACTCATTGTACTCGAATTTAATTTCCTAATTTGCATCTTCCAGAGTCGACTGGCTACGAAATAATTTATAATAATTGATTTAGTTGATTGAGTTCTATTAAACGAATTGAAATGAGCACAGGATTTGGTTACGAAATTGAAAGGGCCCTCGAATCCACACTCCCTAAAAATAGAGATTGGGAGATTTCTAGCTTGCACCTGCTATTTGGTTCACTCGAACTCGGATTGTCTTGACAAGGGGCAAGATGTTGCTTCTTGATGTGCACTACTTAATTAAAAAAATCAGTTGGGGGTGCTGGTGAGACCCAGATGAGGTCGAAACTCCGGTACCCTTAGATAAGTAAGCACTATGTGAAATTGCGATTAATTAGCTTTTATGACATACATAGGCCTTATATTCATTTCAATGTCAGCGAATAAGTGGGAGGAAAGTTTAATTTGCCTTATGCTCCACTTCGTTGCACTCCACTTCGCCCCAAATCCCTTTTTAATGCCCAGCTTGTATTGTCAGGGTACTTCCTAAAAATTGTCTGATAAGCTATCGGGAATTGGATCGTCATCATTTATTGAAGCATGTTCCTGTTTTGCACCTCAAGCCTACTGGCCTTTCATAAATGGGCAGGAACTGGGCAACCTTAAGTTGATTTAAATGAGTTATGGCTGGTACTTGGGTTTAAATGTGCCCTAAGCCTTATCATGCGATAGAATTTGACTTAGCATTGCCTTATTCTGTCTCCGAGATTATATGATGATGGTGTATCTGATTATATCTATTGGTGAGGTCAACGTAAACGGGTTTAATGTCCTTAGAGCCTTCATTTCTTACAAAAAGTTGAGAAGAATGCATTAATAAATGAGCTTGCCTGTAGCCCAGTATGGATTGCTTTAAAATGTGCTTGTCAATTTAGGCGAAGAAGTACTTGGCACATTGTACTGAAAGCCCAATTAATCATTGCTGAGCTCCATCTGTCATGTGACAGATATAGTAACAACCAGAAACGATTCCTTAACAAAATTAAAGCACAAAAGTGTGCCATGTAAGATATTTAGCTCCAATCCTAACAACTTAATACCTGCTTTCTTTATCAGAATTTTGCGTTTATAGGAAGGTTTTCAAGACTAACATTATATCATATATATGAGATGAATTCATTCTATTTGGTTTAATGTGATAAAGGACTGGATAAAGGACTGTAACGGTAAGTCTTACTCATCTAATTATACAAAAAGTGTACTATCAGTCCTTCATCAACTTAAACGAAATGATTGAAATCGCATTATTTATATGATCACTGGAAGTCTCGAAAACTCGCATAAGAAAGAAAAATAAGTAATGAAGTCGATTGCTATAGCAAATAAAACTATGTTTTATCGTCAATCCCAACACAAAATGTGGTATAGTAAAAAAACT